CATAAGTTCAGACAATATGGGGCACGTAGGCCCCAAGATCTTAACAGGAGCATAAAGACCCCGAAACAACTAAGGGAATTACCAAAGATCACCACAAATTCCTCGGCTGAGCTAAGAAGTAGGCTACTTGTCACCGCCCACATCATCCTGAGCCTCCTCACTATCTTCCCCTTCAAACCTCTCTTTGTCATCTTCCTCCTCTTTCGGGGTCAATGGCTCATTGTCCACCTGTGTGATGAGCTCGAGCAGCACCTTCCGTGAAGTAACAGAGCTGACGTCGAGGTTAGGGAAAAGAGACTTAAGGTAATGGTGACACAACTTGAAACCCCTCTTAATTAAAGGGATACCGTCCAATGCCCGCTAAGTCTCATATGCGGGAGACTTCAAGTAAGAAGCAACCACCTCCGCCCTAGCCTGCTCAGTGCTTGGGCACACCTTCTTGGAACACTTCAACCTCGCCTCTGACAGCTTGTGCTGCAAACGCTGACGCTCCACACGCTCCCCCTCCGAGCCCAGCCTGAGTTTCTACACCTTGACGTTAAGCAAACCAATGTTGGTCTGCAGGCTAGCTCACTCCTTCTGGTTAGAGTAAGCGCGATCCAGCAAGACCTGACCATAAGAGTTCACCTACAAAAAGTAAAACAGGAGTAAGGCACCAAAAAAAAAAAGAAGAGAGCTGTAAACCTGTATGATACATTGGGTCATCAGAGCCCCAACCTCCGCAAGGTCCATCTTGTTGATCCGTTGTATGTCCGCCGGAAGAAGAATGCCCCTACCAACCTGAAGCACCACCTGGATATCACTCGACCAATCAATCACTTTCACATCAGGAATACAGAAAATAAAAAGAGAGACATCGAAGAGATAAGGGCCCGCCTCTCGTGTAGGCTGAAGGCTAGAGGAATCCTGCTTTGTAAGCATTGAGTCCCCCTCCCTTTCCAGGTCGACAATAGGAGGAGTCCTGGAAGAAGAAGCTCCACCCCTTGATAGCTTGTACTCAACTCGACGCTTCTTGCGGGCAGACCTCCGCTCAGCATCAATAGACATCATGGAAGCCAATCTTGCCATACCTACAAGAAGCAAAGAGAATCAATAACTAAATCAAAAGGAAGAAATAAATAGATAACACCTGAACTGAATGTGCAATAAGTGGCCAGACATCCGACCCACCTATCCGGCTCAGGCCCGCCTACACGAGCATCAGCTTGGCCAGGAAATCCTCAACTCTAACACATTCTCGGACGAGCTACTGAACAGCAGCCCGCAGCTTGTCATCCATGCACTCAGGAACCTTTTGAGGACTGTTGTACCAGGCAGTACCACTGCCGCAGCCACCTGCCTTCTCAAGAAAGAAGAATCGCTACCGCCAATTCCTAACCTTGTTTGGGAAGTTAAAAAAAAAATTTCCCACTATGGAAGGGAAGATAGAAATAGAAGGGACCCGAAACCCACTTCATGTGCACCAAAGTCAAGAAGGCCTCAATGCTTAGAGGAAAGCCGTGATGATGGAACAAACCGATCAACCCAATCAGTGTCCTAACCCCATTAAGGGCGAGTTGGCCCAAAGACACCCGACAATGACTTAGGACTGCAACAATGAAAGGATGAAGGGGAAAGCGAAGACCAGCCGCAAAGGGCTCCTCGTAGACACATAGCCCCTTGCGGCCATGCTCCCATGGATAGCTACCAGGACTAGGCACGATCCATTGGTAGTCATTTGGGACCTCATACCTATGACACAGCTCTACTATCTCTTCCCCTGACAAATGGGTCCCCCCAAACAAATCCGTTGTAGCCTCAACTTCTTCCCTCTTGCCTATCAAAGCCCCATCATAGAAGGTCTCGAAAGACTCTTCATCAGAGGAGCTAGATTCCTCCTCTGACCCACTACAACAAACTCTATTCTCAGCAGAACTGTGAGACATGTCGAGAATGAAGTACTCACCAAAAAACGCTAGGAGGGAATCAAAACAACTGTTTCCGAACTTGGCAAAGGAAGAAAACATAGCTCTCCCACGGAGAACAGAGCTTGCCTCAGCAGTTCAACCGAAAAAACTGAAAACTCTCATCACACACCCATCCTCAAAAAAGTCCAAAGAACAGTGACAAAGTGGGGACCTCGAGGGCCCCCATATTTAAAGCTTGCAGGAAGGAAGTCAACAGCCCAGATTTGGAAACGATGTGACAAGAGCACGCCTCCCACACTTGAGCGGCGCCTGCATCTGATAGGCTGTTGACTGTTGTAGACAGGCATGCGTGCCAAACCTGTCAACGCGCCAATCTCGAAAATTTTAAAAGAGAAGGGGGTGCGCGTTTTTGAAATTTGAAAAGCTCATCGTTTCATGCCAGCATATTTCACCAACCGCGCTAAGCTGGATTAGATGAACCAACCGTGCCGAACCGATAACGGCGAGCTGAACCAAGCCAGCTAAAAAGGTAAACTAAACCTAAGAACAGAGCAAGTTGAACCAAAATGCCCCATAAACTTCTACTCTCTTTGCCTACTAGGTAATGGCTCAAGAGTGGGGGGCAATTGATGAGGGGCATTTTGGTCAACCCACTTGGCAGTGGACATGTGGATGCTGTCAGCAACACAGCGTCCAACTCAGCAAGACAACTTGTCAGTTCAGCACATTGCAGTTTATAACAGGTATGCGGCTGAGCTGAGGCGAGCTCGGCACACCAACAACAACAGCTCACCCAAAACCGTCCCGTGCGCCATGTCCGATCTAGCACCATTACCGAAACTACAGGAACAGCTCGCCGAACCATGCGCCATGAGACCCACAGGTGACCTGTAATCGCCGCGCGAATTTAGCAACTAACGGCCTAGAACTCCCTCAAACTGCGAAAACAACTCTGCAGAAAAATCAAATACGTTGGATAGTGACACCTGAACACCTAGTAACTATAAAAAGAACCCAGGGACACTCTGAAAGGTATGCGCATTAAAGCTCTTGAACTCTCTCAAAAATTCCCATTAAATCTCCTCTCTGACTTAAGCATCGGAGTGTTTTCCTAGGTAAAACATACCCAAACACTCTAACCTAACTCTCTTTACAGAATCTCTCATCTCGACATCATAGCTCACCATTGACAGGTTTGGACTCAATTCAAGCCACCTCATCAGGCACGAGGGAGTGAGCGAATTGTAAATCATCAGGTATGTACATTAATCTGATTGGAATTAAGGGCATATGCTGTCTAACATACCAATGGCCTGAATATCCGTCTTACACTTTATTCCCCAGTCCTTAGCCTTCTCAGTGATGATTCTGATTGGCTCTAGTTTGTTATTTCTCTTTGTTTCGAGCTTCAACTCCCACTTTGTTTAGAGGGTAAGGTGTCATGCCCCTCCTTTTTGTTCTATTAATAACCCCCCTTTCTTATTCTAAAAAATATAAGTAAATAAGTATGAGTGACCATTCAGGTATAGCTTGCTCATATAAAATACTTAAATGCTTATGTGGACAATTTTTGTTAATAATCACTAACGGTGATCTAATAAAAATCTATGTTGAGTTTTAGACAGTAAAACTCACTAACAAGGGGCTATTTGGAGATTTTGAAAAGTTATGATGAATTTAAGAGTAATGTGGAAAAGTTATTATGAATTTAAAAGAAATGTGAAAAAGTTACCTTTTTTTAATTTGAATGGATTTCCTTGAAAAAAAACGACAGCTACATGCTACTATGCTAGTAGAAGAAAGAGTCTGCGTGAGAGTGTCCATAGATGCATTAAAAATAGGAACTAAAGTGAACAGTACATGTGACCTTGGTGGCTAGCCTGAACTCCTCGCCATAAGGTTGTTAGAGGAGACCTGCCTGCTGCTTCAAGCTTAAGCCCAGCCCAAAGTCTCTCATCTCTAGAGATTCTGGTTCTGGCTAAAAGCTTAGGATCATTTAATGCTTGTTTGGAAGGGCTTTCATGTAATTGCTTCTGGCATTACATGAGCTGAGAACCTGTTACGTTTTGAAGTCATGGTTGGTAAAAGACTGGAAAGCGGAAATAAGCTTACACGAGACACAAAATTGACTTTTCAGTGAAGCTATCTCAAGTAGCTTCTCCGAAGTGATTCAGTCAACACAAAAGAGCCCTCCCAAACGGGTAATTAGCGGAGGGCTTTCATGCAGCGGCTTCTAGCTTTATAAGATAGGCCCCAAACTAAAGATTTACAACTTATGTTTGGTGAAAACCCCCAAAAGGCCATAGTATGCATTAATTGGGCTAATAAATCGACTTTCTGGTGAAACCAAATTTCAATAGCTTCTTTAATGTGGCTCAGTCAACAAAAGTCCAATCAGAGCTGAAGCCCTCCCAAACGGGGCTCTTCCCACTTTCAAAACACAATCTTTTGATGATTCTTGCTTTATTATTATTGGGATAAAAGAAACCAGCGTTTATGACATTGGAAAAATTAATTAAGCAAGAAATCATACAAACAAGATTTATTGGATCATTTAATCATGGAAATTATTCAAATATTATTGAATTAAAATTACAAGTTTTAAAATTAAGCTCGTGCCCTGCTGAAAATTTTCAAGGACGCCTCAACCACCCTAAGCCGTGGGCCCCTCCAAAAGTCCAACCACACAAGAAAGTTTAATCCTTCATTGAAATGCACTTGACTTCTGAAAATAAGGCTAGATATACATCTCTCAAAGCTGCTGAAAAAATGATCCAGGAAGCACTATTTTTTGGGCCTCACGAGCCCAAATTTAGGTTTCTTTAACTTAAAGGGATCCAATCCATCTAGGGATTTTGGGTTATGGGCTTGCTATTTTTTATTTTTGGGCTTTAACCAACAACATTTTATAAGTAAATCGACATGAGCTTGAGAGAGATATCAGAAGAAGGTGATTATTTAACTTGGAAGATCATTTAACTCATAACTCAAGAAAAAAGTCCAAAAAAAAAAAAACTTGGGTTAACGCGAAACAGTTCAACATGCTACTCTAAAATAAGAGATTAGGTGGTCATGGGCGATGGTTCGTAGAGTTTATGACTCAGCCTCGACCTGCTTAAGCCTACGTTGCTGAGAGAGTAGCCTCGCAAATCGGATCAAGGCTTCTTCATTGGTGCCTTCTCCATGAAGCTGTTCGAACTTTCCAGTCTCCAAGTTCACCATGGACATGGGCTTCTTTAGCAACTCCTTCCCAATCCTCACTAGATTTTGCAGGTTCTCCTCCGTTGCTATATCAACTGATGATGCCGCACCTGTCAATGTGTCGTCCTGTTCACTCACAAGTCACAACATAGAAAATTCAGTGTTGAAGCCGAGACCACAACTCTTCACAGCCGTTTAAACTAAAAATTTTGAATTACACAGTTTGATTAGTGATTGTACATATGAAATAATGGCTATCTAAACTGAAGTGCATTGGCAGCTTGGGAGGACCTGAATCCGGAGGTAGTTCTTCTGGGCATGGAGGACTTGAAAGAGAGTAGAAGCGTGGATGTCTACTACATCTGAGCTTGAATGCATGAAGGCATCAATCAAGGGCGTGGCTCCATCATTGTATGTCCATTCCAGCAATCCCCAGTTGGAAGCTATTTCTGCAGAGTATTTCTCTTCATGGTTGGCCGCGCCAGTGCCAAGGGACAAGACTAGGAACTTAGACGCATCCATGGGCTTTATGTGGAGGAAATCTGGGTCATTTATCAATATGTCTTTCGATATGTGGGTGAGAGCTAGTAGCGTCTGTGGAATTATTGAAGGCCAGATTTTCTTTTTAGTTAATTACCTAATCCATCTTTTGTAGCACAGAAATTAAAAGGAATTAATAATTCCCAACTAAACTACTATTTGCAACTTACAGGGTTATTTGCAGCAACCCCTCCATCAATGAGGTTGAAGCTCCGGGTGTTACCCTTGGAATCGTTTGTCTCAAAGTGATGAGCCGGGAGATATGTTGGAGCTGCAGAGGTGCTGATGCAGATGTCTGATAATCGAGAATTTTTTAAAGCGTTTGTCTTTGCCTGTACAAGTAGGAAGGTGAGAGAAGAAGTTTGTGTATTGGGATTGTAATTGTGACATGCATACATACCTCCTTGGTTGTGAAAATGGTGGGCTGGAGAAGCTTAACATCAAAGGTTGGGATGATGACGTTTGTTAAGGTCTGAGAAAGAGTTGTTTTACCCAAAAGCCCCTCCGTCAAGGACCGGATGTACTTGCCATCGTACTTGGGCCCGGAGAGCACACGGCACAGCTTCACTATGCGGTCTATCCCGGCAGTTCTGGGGTTTGACAGAATCATCCATCAATCCACACCATCCAACACACATAATATTGTTGTTTTACATGCATCAATTCCTGTATACCTTTTATTGGGACAGGAAAGTTTCAAAGATTATCTCCTATTCTTACAATATTCTTATAGCAACAGTATCGGGAACAGTTAGATGCAAATGGATCGGATTGGATTTGAATTGGGGCATATCCAAATCCAATTATAAATCTCAAATCCGATCTGATGTTTCGATCAGATTTCATAAGGGTGAATCCAAATTCTAATCCATTAAAAGATGTTAGATATCTGAGTTCATTCGATCTGATTTAATTTTACAAAAATAGGCCTTGTTTGGCAAGTCTTTTTAGAAGATCTTTTGGGCTTTTAAAAGCTTGGTAGACCAAAAATGGTCTTTCTCTGTTTGGCTACTGAAAGCCACTAGACCAAAAGACAAAATATGAAAAAAGACACTAAAAGTCCAAAGTGGTCTAAATTTGAGAAGCTCCAACCGAAGCTTTTCGTCTATTCGCTTCCCGATAACATGACAAAAATTGGGAAAATGATTGGTTGAAACTCCCTTCATTCTCCATTTCCATTGACAAGAGAAACTCTACCTCCAGCGTTGACATTTTTGCACAAGTGAACTAACAACTTACTCCTGTCTATGATTATGAATGCGGGGAATATTGTATTTGTTTGTGCGTATACAATTCCAATATGATTTGGAGGAGGACAAAAGCAAGCCCTAAATGGATATTACAAGCTCTCTTAAACTGACATTACATACATCATTCATGGACAAAGAAATGCCCAAGATGGACTGTTTTGCACAAATGAATGTGTAAATGGGACACAAGTGTTATTTTGCACAAATGATATGTGGGGCCCACAAGTGCTAAATGTACATTTGGATATGTCAATGGGTCCGCCACAAGACATTTCAAAGGTGCATTTTCATTTAAATGTTCAACATTTGTTTGTTGGGCCATGGTTTTCAAAACCAGACCGGACCAGACAGTCGGACCGGAAAAACTGAAAACCAATCAGGTAATTGGTTTCGTTTTTCTCCAAAACCGGATTTTTGTCAAAACAGTTGATTTTGGTCAGCAAACCGTTGACCCAGGTGGTTAACCGTTCGAACTGGGAACTGGATCCCTAACCGGTTCGTTCTCCGGGTCAGTTTTAAAAACCTTGTGTTGGGCTATATATGCTTACCAAACAGTCTTTTGGTCTTTTTAGCTTTAAAGAAGGTCTATTAAAAAATTGCAACCAAACTGTCTTTGATCTTTAAAGATCTACCCATGAAAGCTCGCCAGTCTTTTAAGGTCTTCAGCTTTTGGAAGATCTTAAAAATATTTGCCAAACACCTCCTTAATAAATTATTAGAAAGAAAAAACATAGCAATGTATATAAAGAAAAGAAAACCACAATCATTTTTTATCATATATATACATGTCTTTTTATAAAAAGTTACAAGAAATGTAATATAATAAATAAATAACTAATATATATATGGTGATCCAAATTTGATCTGATATTTAATCAGATCCTATCATTCGATTCAATCCAATCCAAAAATCTGATAGCGAGCTATCCGATTCTAGCAAAATAGGATCATATTCAAATTCAAATCGGATCATGATCCAATCCATTTACATCCTATTGAATAATAGGACATTACGGCAAGCATGAGACACACACACAAAGATGTGATGTTTTAATTGATCAACTTAAAATGACAACTAAAAACCATAAATTTAAAGAGGAACAATTATGGGTGTAAGCAAGCTTGACTAGAATCGAGTTGAGTTTGAGCTTTCCAATACTTGGCTCGAGCATCTCACAAGCTTAATCAAGCTTATAATAAAATAGTAATTTTTAATAGATTTAATATATAAAATTATAATAATTTTCCAATATATTTTTATTTATAATATTTATAGTGTTTATTCATTTATAATTTTTTATATTAATTTATTTATAATCAACTCAACTCAAGCTAAGCTATCAGTTCGAGTAGGGCAAATGGAAACTTAGTCAAACTTGGAGTTTTGAGCTGTGACTTTTTGAGTCGAGTTAGCTCGAATAGCCTAATACTCAACTTGAATTACTGCTCTGAGAGCAATAATTAATCACAAAAACACTTTATATGCTCCCAGCTCCTAGCTTCCTACTAGAGGGAATATGTTCAGATATATTGACCACAACAAATTGATGGCCACATATACCCAGCCACACACATCAGGAACATCGGTTCTACTCGCTGATATTCTTAATATGTAGTTGGATGAATGTAGCCAGCAATGTGTTGTGGTCAACAGATCTGGACTCGCTTATGAATTGTTGCTCTTACCAAAGGGGAAAGGTTGTTGATACCAATAATAGAACGGATAGGTTAAAATAGTAGGTGAATTTAAAAGAAAAAGATGTTCCATATTAGGTATCAAAACAGACAAACAATGAAAATCATGAAGATACAGAAAGCAAAACAATGGGTTCATATGCTAAGAAATAACACTTTCTCTAGTTGCTTTTAAAAAAGAGGGAATATTTTTTTTGAAGGAGGTATCTCATTTCCTGCACTACTTCTGGAGGCCCCTCAATAAATTGCAAATATACCCTAACGTTTAAAAGAAAAATCAAATATCACATCAATTAGTGTTTGGTTCCAATAATCATAGGTACGATATGGTTTTAGCTTCTCAAAGGTTAGATTTTTTTTTTTTTTTTTTGGGTGGAATCATAGGTTAGATGATGATCTTATAAACCGATTCAAATGGTTTTAGAAATTAATGTCACTAGTGTAACCCCCATACATATATAACAAATGTTTCTAATATCCCCCTATTAAAACCCTCCTTTTCTCTTAAATCTCTATGAACCCCTTTCCTAACAAGGTAAAGTTATAAATTAGAGGGGTTGAGTTGGATTAAGGGCCAAATCAAAGCCAACCCTAAATGTGGACCTTGGCCTGAATCCAAACTAATGTCAAAATCCAAAACTTATTGCCAACTAAAACCTAACCAAAGTTTAATACAAGCACATACATTGCTGGGAAAGGACTGCTTCCAACTTGCAAATCCATTTCTTCTTAATTTGCTTACCTCCTTTGAGGGAAGATCTTGGGGCAGTGTTCTAAATAAAAGTCATTGATGTCCTTAGCAGGGTATAAGGGCAGATTGTTCTCATCAGGCGCTGTAAGCATGACCGTTAACAGCCCAACTGTGCTCGTTCCAGCAACCAGGTCGAAGTAGTTTGCGATCCGTGCATTCTGTCCATCAAGTTCCTGCAACCAACCAATATCACTTTTCTCTTCTATTATTACATTAAGCTATGCTTGATTTGATAGAAAAATAGAAAGTTGAGAGAAAGCTCCTAAGGCTGTGTTTGATTTGAAAGAAAAAGTAGGGAAAAGAACAAAAAGATAGAAAAACCTTTACAGACCTCGATGAGTTTTCTTACCATTCTCTTCCTTTCCCTACTTTTTCCTTCAAACCAAACATGGCCTAAAGGCTTAGTTTAGAAAGAGTACAAATATAAATATATATAATATAAATATAGACAAAATAATACAAAATATAAGATTTTACACTCAAAGCATTTGCATTTGTACTCCTTCCAAACTGAGCCTAAGGTGTGCAGGTTGCAACCTGAAATTTGGATTCAAGAAAGGCTAGTATCGTTCCAGGAATTATGCCTCTAACACCACCTCCATCAATGCTTAACACTGTCACCATCCTCTCCGACGCAGCAGTCATGGATAACTGCTAAACCTAATTGTTTCTAATCTCAATCGATGCAAATTGCCCAATGAATTGAGGATGATATAAGAGAGCGAGAGACAGACAAACAGACCGAGACACACACAGATTGATTGTGGTTTGGCACATAAATAAAGAACTGTGATGGAAAAGGTTTTCTGATCAACGCTCAATTTCCATGACTTCGGAATCTGATGCCTAAGGCTTTGTACTATAACCATTCTAGAGAACCTATCTGGATGCCACACCAGCCACTGTCAGGAATATGTTCATTAAACAATACACGAGTTGGGATTTAATCAATCTAGTTCTTTTTTCTATTTTATTGGTTAAGATAGGGTCGTTGGTTTGGACACGGCTAGAACTTAATCTTTTTTGTGATTTCTGGTTCTCGTTAATGGTAATCTGCATTTACTATGTATGTAACGACCAAAATGCCTCTATTTACAATTTTCAAGTTGAATTAAATTAATGGTGAGAAAAAAAAAAGAAAAGAAAAGAAAAGGAATTATATTAAAGGGGTTGCATATATTTGCAATATCTAGTTACAGTGGAGTATCCAATAGCATGAGAAGCTTTGACAAGAAATTAGTCCCATCAAATGATTTTTCAAAGCACCCCAATTTCTGGTTTTCCTCTTTTCTTTGGACCTATTCAGGAGAAATACAGATACAGATGGGGGCAGTTGGAGCATCCACTATGCCACATGGTGTGTTATGGATGGGACACCTGTGATTGATAAGTACAGACACATACCACTAATATTATAATACTGCATTTGTTCCTTGCACGGTGTACTCTGTGCTTAGACCAGTTCCTATACTGTTAGTCTGTTACTCCTAATTGAGTTGAGACTGAGACCACTCTATAACAATCTAGGACCTCTATTACATTTCATTTCATTTCTCATTCCCAATTCCATCCATGATCCAAACATGTATCCCTTTCGCATTAGATTCGACCAAATATCAAATTCTCTATGCTGTACAGCCGGAGAATCACTTAAATTCCTTCAGTTCACCCTCTATATCCCTCGTTAATTAAGTTGCCTGGTAATCAGAGTTAGCTAATTCATTTACCCAATTCGAGCGCCAGTTTTCAAGTGTTCATTGTCTCTGATATGAAAACCCAGATTGTCCTCCTAACCAGCAAAGAATAGAATCCAGACCCAAATGGATCAGGTTAATTAGTAACCATGTGGAACATGCATATGCCCTTTTCAAAAGTAATTTGTTCAAAATGCATCACTGGGTTAACCAGCTGGTCAGACCCAGTATGACTTTTTCCGATTCGAGCCAGTTATGAATTATATATGATTTTGTCTCCAGTCACTGTCTTTAACATTGACATGAAATCTTAACTCGATCGATCGGGAAATGAGAGTGGAGTCGAGTGCAGTGTGAATTGCGAGTCAGTGAATTAATGATTAAAGTTATAAATATGATGAAATAGGATTCATGTAGCCAACCCATATAAATGATGGTGAAGATGAAACAGTAGGACGAAAATCGAATCAAATAGATCATAAGATGTTTTCTAGGTGGTCTCACTGTATCGAGTTACAGCTAGATATATATCCCCTCTCATATAGTCATATTAATTAATTAGATGCTTGCTTTTTACATCTCAGACAACTTTCAACCTTTAACAACCACGGATTTCTTTCTGAGCAGAGGCTCGCTTCATCAGCATGCACCATGAATGTCTCAAGACCCACGAGCTAATAAATAGTATCAGATTATCAGAGGTGCAATTAGAAAAAAACAAAAACAAAAGATTTAAATAAAAGTGGCTAAACGGAACGGATTTAGCCATGGGAAATGAAGTTTTGAATTGAAGCTTTTTAAGTTGTTGTCATCACAGATACTGACGAAATCGATCGAACAAGAAAACAAAAGCTTGAAAAGAGAGAGAGAGAGAGAGAGAGAGAGAGAGAGAGAGAGAGTTATGGTTTATGGGGATCGAGTAGCCTTGAAGCTTTGCAAACAATGTACATACAACATAATGAACATGAATTTCAATTCACTGAACTCTTACAAAGAAGATGCTTAATTCTGGGCCGTCTGTACAACCACCGGGGTTTATCATGTACAAAGCTTCAGAGTCTTTGGACCCGACCACCCTCTCGAAGCGAGCCCTCATATATGTCAACTCCCCATCGGCGGATTCTTTCTCAGATGGGCAAGGAAGAACCCCAGCTCCCATGGAGACTCCTCGCAAGTGTTGCATCACATGGAGCTCATCCTCTGATCTCACCTTCCTCCTAATGGAGTATCCCGTTTTCCGGCCATTACAGTACACCGCCCACACAAACTCCTCCAATAGTTTCTTCTTGGAAGTCTTTGTCTCGCTCTCCAGGGCGATCCTCACTAAGCCCGTGGCCATCTCCTTGTGGAATGCACTCGTGAGGATGGGTAGTTCTATCACAAACATGGGCACACACCTGGGGTCCTCCTGTATAGCCAAGCTCAGTCTCCCTTTACGATACCCGAAGAGAGTCCCGATTGTGGCCTTGTTAGTGAGTAGAGCCTTCCGGGGTCGACCCAGTAGTGTCGCCATTTTGCATCCAGAGCTCAGTTGAGGGAAGAGCTTGAACATGCCAAAGAGCGACTTTGATCGCTTGTCGCTGGACATCTGTCGGAGCAGAGACATGACCCCATGAGTTTCCATGGGTGGGCATGGATTCGAGGGTGTTCTCTTTGGTGTGGTGCCTTGTGAAGATGGCATCAATTTGTGTTGTCTATATGTATCTCTGTTTGGGTCGGACTTGGGAGTAGGGGTATATAGAATCATACAACTATAGAAGGGCTAACTTGTTTCAGAACAGCTCTTCCTCTGTACGAGTTATATAGAGGATGGAGAAGAAGGATTGAGTAGACTTTAAGATGAGTTGGCAAGGTAAGGTATGAGACTTGAGTAAATGAGTAGTTTCCTTGGAATCATTGGAGTGGAGGAGGGTGTTTGGTAATAGACCCCCTCTCCCCCAACTCAACTTGCTTAATCTTAATCGAGAAAAAGGTTAAAGTATGATGTAACCGAGTTTAATTAGTGATGCATGAAAAGAAAGGGAGGGAGTTGAATCTGATAAGATAAGGAGGGCCGGACCACTGATAGTGGGGGAAGCAGAGAAGGAAAGAAAAAAAAAAGGACCCCCTTTGCTTGCTAGTTTGGCATGTGCTTCTGAGTTATCAACCTCACATACTTTATGCTTTTTCCATTATCTCATCCCAAAGACTCACTAATTATTGAGGTGCACCTCATCTTTCCCCAAACACATCTCCCTGTTCATCACCCGTGGATGCTTGCTTTTGCCCCCCAACTCTCCCTTTCATTCATCAATTTTTCTCTCAAGTAGTGTCACCACTGTACAACAGTCATGTTATTCATGGAGAGTAGGGTCTTGATTGGAGAAAAAGAAAGGGAAATCCAGAATTGGGTCTCCATACTATATGTATATATAGATATCTTATTTATTAGATATTAGTGTAGGGTGTGGAAGAACTGGGTTTGTGCAGGTTGAAGCTGGGTGAAAAACAGTGGGGAGGCCCCAACCAAAGTTAGCCGGCCAGTTTCAATCATTGAGCCTACTGTCATGAGTTAATTGGAGCTGGACTCGGTTCTTGTACTGACTCCTGCAGCTGACATATGCGGCGTTGATAGGACGATATATATTGATAAGATGCATCCTCAAAACCAAATCATCTTGTACGAGTAGGAGCTTGCTTACGTACATTCATCACTAGCTAGCTACAAACAAAGGATGTTGAGTTTGTACTAGTTACTACTTACAGTTACACACATGGGTGCAACAGGTCTGGTCGAGAACCACATTATATGCTTTGGCTCCTAGTCTTGTCGGGTTTGGGTTCGAATTTGATTGAAGAAGTGGTTCAGAGATTGATCCATCATATATATATATATAGATAACTGGGTACCTACCTATAAAGCAAATGATTAGGTGAAAAGTAGCTACCCATCATATAAATGTCAATTTCCATGTACATATACTATTGGACCCGATTATTATTATTATTATTGGATCTTATAGATCTAAGTTAGACCCAATTATTATCGGGTTTGGACCCCAACTTGCTAATCGGGTATGCATGGTGAGATCAGATGAACACTCTGAGAAGTGAGAACAGGGCATTCAGCTGTATATTGGAAATATCTCTGGTTCATGTATGATAGATTCGAGAAAGGATTCGCTGAATTTGATAGCTGTATATGACCCACAAGCATTCATTCTATCACTTGTATTTATATGCCTGTTGTAGAACAAAATGTTTGATCCCACAGTCAGTAAAATAGCTATCAGATTCAACTAATCCACAGGGAGATGTTCCCCATGTGTGGCCAGATGTCTAGCTCTCAAAGTGAAAAACGCATGGGTGCTTTTTTAAGAAATAAGAGTTTTACTTTTAGGAAAATAATTTTCTTTCTGATGTTCTGTAAGTCATTTTCCCAACGGAGATTCATGTTCACAATTTCAGTCACATATTTCCCAAATTTACAAACTTCTTTTCTAGGTTAAATAAAACACCAAGAAAACTAGAATATGAATCATTTTCCAAGGAACCCATTTATTTTAATTCTTTTTTTTTTTTTTTGTGCAACCAAACAAAAGTGAAACTAACTAGAAGGAGACTGAGTTCAATGAGTGCACAAAGCTTCTCCACTAATATTTTGGCATACGAAAAAAAAAATAAGGGGAAAATAATAGATTGTAAAACCCATCTTTTAAGGAATCTTTAATGTTTAATAGCAACCATCAAACAGGCTTGGATATGGCACCATAAGCCCGACATTGTGATGATGATGGTCTGAGAATTTTATGAAATCAAAGCTTCTCCACTAAAACCCATGATTTCATTTCAGACTACAAGTAAAATGATTAATCTTGTAAACGGGCACAAGTTTATTTTGTGCTATTTTCACTCTAAAGTTGGATAATTTTCCTTTTGTTACATCTTCTTAGCAACCGATTAATTATTAACAAACCCATATTTTCTTAGGATAACTGTCTTTTACAATGTCAATTCTTTGTTAACATTCCATACCCACCCAAGTAAATACAGCCTATACAAATTTTATTAGCTTAATGAGCATAAAACGTTATGGCCAAATTCTTGCAATGTGAAAGCGGAATCATACATTCTGCTATGCCACGACAAAAGGTAATGGCAGAAGAAGATACCAGTTGTACAACTCAAATCTTTTAACTTCTGCACTTCTCTAAGTGCCAAAGAGATCTAAGTTAGATCTTCTTCATGGACAGATCACATCATTGCCAATAGGTCAGGAGTTGCTGAAGATAAACCTAATGGATTAATTTCTTGCTACTAACTCATTTAGAAGCTCCCTAATATATAGATTTAGATAGGTATGGACACCCATATTTCTGTCATTATCTCTTTGGCTAACTATGCTTGAGTTGAGTCGTCACACGGTCATGTCTCTTGATGGTTTAGTTTAAACAACTTCATGAGTTCAAACTAGAAAAAAATAAACCCTAAACTCTAAAGTAGCTCTCAATCTTCAGCGTTGAGTGGTGTCTGGTAATTATTGGGCCTATGAGGTCGCACAATCTGTGGGCATAACTTGTGAGCAGTTCTCTGCTTCTTATCCAAGATAGTTTAGGGAAATAACATTATTTCTCATGTTAGTGTTGTAATTAAAGTAGGGGTGCAACTTGGGTGGGCTCAGATTGAAATTCTATACGGGTTGAATTTGTATTTTCGGTTCTCGAGTTGAGTTCAGGCCTATGAAGTCAGGTATTTTTATTTTTTGGGATGAGCCTGGAGGCCCTGGACCTAATCCTTAGCTTAAATCAGGCTCGAGCTCGGTCCAATTATACATATTCATGCATACATATGTATATATATATATATATATGTAAATTTTGCATGCATATTTACATATATGTACATTTGTATATATAATTGCAGATATATATGTGTATGTGTGTGTAATTTTAAAACGAATTTATTGACCAACCCAAATGCATTAAATTACCGTATGGACTTGATTCAAATTGAAAAGATCAAGCTTAACCTCAGACTCTCGCCTTAAGTCCAAATCTTAGGGTCAGCCCTGGATTGACCATAAACCTGACCCAATCCACCCAACTTGCACCCTTAAGTTAAACTACATCCACATTTGATACCCATTGATATTTGGATTCAAATCTAACTCAATATTATACACCATTACCATAAAAAGGACCCAAATATATTATCAGTGAATCATTGAATGACTTAAAACTAATTTCAATGAATCTTGAACCTATGGCCCTCATAAAAGAATCAACACTCAAAATCAACTTACTAAATATTTATATATTAATTTTGAAAACAACCTCTCTCTATATAGTGGTGGAAATTTCATACATTGGGCTGCCCTTTACATCTTTACATTGTGAGAGATTTGGATTTTATTTGATTTGATTTTAGGGTACATGTGATGATGCTCTGGCCCCCACAAGATTAGTGGTGGCACGTACACATGCGAGACCGCCCGCTATCATCCACCACGAGTTCAAATCCGTCCCCCACAAGATTGCACCCCACAATGTTTTACGATTGTCTATGGAGAACATCTCCAAATGATAATATCATCATTTCTATTATTATCATTCGGAGATATGGGGCTGATTTGATCTCACACAGAGAGCCTGTACGTACTTCTGCGGATTTGAACTAGTGTCTTCTCAAAGGGGAGGGATTAGATTTTGAACATGAGAGAGGACAAAGAGACACCATTTCCAGCTCTACCTTAAAGTGGTTATCAGATCTAGGGGTTGGCTACCGGAAAATGAAAAGAAAAAAGTAAGAAAAAGAAAAAGGAATCCTTTCCACATTACACTTCAGTCCAAGGATATTTACTGAAATGGTGATGCACAGACTGGTAGGCGTACGTGCTAGGAGGTAAGGTTCCACTCCGACAGTAAGACTGTATGTTTCTCTGTTTTCCTGCCTTAAAAGAAACTCAGAATATGGAGTAGAAACAGAAAGTCTCCACGGGCAAAAAACAGAGGCAAGTGCATCCTCTCTCTCCTGATGCATCTAATTCTAAGGTGTTGTGAGGAGAATCCGATATGTTTCTCATTATCATTATCTTGAGACACCAACCTGGAAGAATCTGTGGTTAGTCCCATCAATTGCAAGTGATATCATATGTGGACCTCGGCATGAAAATCCTAGCTACTTGTTCGACGGTTCTAATTAATACTTTGATTCATAGGCCAACTATTTGAGTTTTATCAAAATCTTGTGTTTGTCTCAATACGCAAACCACCGGCAACTTCAATCGGTCATGTTTGAGAATGCTTAAAAATAAGTATTTATTCAAAATAAGTATTTATTTGGGTGGGGATCACACCATTAGTTAAGCATTTATTGGTGTTTGAAAAATAAGTGTTTATTTTAATAAGCATTTATTCAAATTTGTTCTCTCAGAATTGTCCTCAGTAAATTTTTTGAACACCAATTATACCCTTTTATAAAGGTACTATTATAAAAGTACTTTTATAAAAGTAAAGTATTTTTATGAAAGCATTTTTGTGAAAGTACTTTTAGGAAAGTACTTTTACATAAAAACACTTTTATAGTATTTTTACAGAAGCACTATTATCAAAGTACTTTTATGAAAGCATAAAAGTGCTTTCATAAAAGCACTTCTATCAAAGTACATTTATTTATTCACGTTGGATTGGATATTTTGAAAATTTGAAAGAAAATGAGGGACAAAAGAGTCACAATTGCTTATTTAAGTGCTTATTGGAGAAAAAGACCACTAACGCCCAATATAAAATAAGTGCTTATTTTTTAAAATAAACACTTGAAAAGGCTAGGTGCCAAATGCAAACAAATGCTTATTCGAATAAGCACTTATTTTTAACATAAGCACTCCCAAACATGCCCTAAAACTAGAACTG